ATATGGCTTATTACCATATTGATGTTAACCTCTGGCTGGGGCAGGGTTCAGCACTGATCTAGCCGCTGGCGGACGATCAGGTTTGGTTTAGTTTTGGTTTTGGCGCTGATTTCATCGGAGTTTGACTTGGAGATTCCGTGGAAAGTACAAGCAACATGAACAAAGTTAATGCACTGGGAAAAAGTTCAGCAAATTGGTAGGATTTTTTTAATACTGAAAATTTAATAATGCGCTATAATATTATTTGTAAAATATTATTATGTAAACATTGATTATTTTTGATTTTTAGTCCATTTAATGAGCCTAAGTTTTGTAGAACATTAAAAATGTAAAAGAAATATTTAAGAGTGTAAGATTAGGTATTTTTAGATTTTTCCTAGTGTGCATAGAAATTAAGCATTTGGAGCGACATCTTACCGTGCTGGCCATAACTCATGCAGCATACCAGGCCATGCCGATCTCGATCTCATTACCATTCCCACTACGTGTATACCATATATCCATTCCTATTCCTACGTCTTGGTCCGTGGAGATCGGTGGCATTTGCCGGGCCATTAGATCGGGCTGCCGTGTTGATATTGCCATCCATTCGGAAATTGTTGATTTGGGTCACAATTAATTGCTTTTTGAGCGCCATAAATATATGGCCATCACAACAAAGGGTGCGGCCGCAAAAGAAGTGCTGACCTCCACGATGACTTGCCGAAGTCGTTTGGGTATCACCATATCACCATAGCTCGATTATCATCTCATGTTCGGTGATAATATGACAGGAGCGTAATTTCGGTGAGATTTTCAAGTGTGTGGTCATTACCCACCCTTGCCTATCAGCATTATAAAACATTCTTGACGACATGATTTATTCATATTCATAAACTTTATTTTATGACATGTATTTTGGAAACCAATTAATGTTCCATAATTTTACAACTTACTTTTACAACTTTTTTGATTTGTCAGTTAATCAATAAATTGTTACCTTTATTAATTTCAGAAATGTATTTAATACACACTATACCAGTTTATAGTGAAATTATCTACACTTCTTTAAAATTAAAGGTAAACTTATCCAAAACAAGAAAGGAAGCTAGCTTCGGCCAGCCGAAGCTTATATACCCTTGCAGATCATTCCTATTAATTAACAAATCGCAAAAATGTTCAATTTTCTAATATTTCTCATTAATTTTCCGATCGTTCCTATGGCAGCTATATGATATAGTCGTCCGATTTTGATCAAATTAAAATTGAAATTCGGAAATATTTAAAAAGAGTCATATCCTAGAGTAGAAGATAATACAATAAAAACCAAAGAAGCTAGAATTTATTTCCTATTACTTTTCCATTAATTTTCCGATCGTTCCTATGGCAGCTATATGATATAGTCGTCCGATTTTGATTAAATTAAAATTGAAATTCGGAAATATTTAAAAAGAGTCATATCCTAGAGTAGAAGATAATACAATAAAAACCAAAGAAGCTTGAATTTATTTCCTATTACTTTTCCATTAATTTTCCGATCGTTCCTATGGCAGCTATATGATATAGTAGTCCGATTTTTTAAAAAATTAATTCGAAATTCAGAAATATTTAAAAAATAACATCCCCAAAAGTAGAAGGTAATATTTCAAAAAACACCGAAGCTAGAATTTTTTAAAGTTTTTTTTTCCGATTGTTCCAATGGGAGCTATAAGATATAGTTGTCCGATCCGGTCGGCTCCGACATATATACTACCTGCAATAGAAAGAAGACTTTTGCGAAAGTTTTGTCCCGATAGCTCAAAAACTGAGAGACTAGTTTGCGTAGAAACAGACAGACGGACAGACGGACAGACGGACGGACAGACGGACAGACGGACAGACGGACATGGCTAGATCGACTCGTCTTGTGATGCTGATCAAGAATATATATACTTTATGGGGTCGGAAACGTCTCCTTCACTGCGTTGCAAACTTCTGACTGAAATCATAATACCCTCTGCAAGGGTATAAAAATTGGAAAGAAATGCACGTAAGATATATTTTTCTAAGAGTACTTTTTCTTTAAATTTCTTACGACCAAACTTTCCTTGACTTAGTTAATTCGAATATCACGCTTGATCCAATGTTTTGGATTAGACGCTCTGTGTTTATCTTTAACATAAGGATAATGTAATTTAATCCTTTCCAGCTAAAGGCTTATCCGCCGATACCCTTGCATTCCGGTTCTGTTCGGGCCTGTCGTGTTCCTTCCCCTTTTGCCAGGGTCATTGGCGAATTTCTCACCATCTCTATCTATTTGTCGCTCCGTCTCCTTCTGGCTGGCTGTAAACAGAACGCGGATTAAGGATTCGGCAGCGGGGACAGAAAGGATAATTCGCCAACCGACAATGCTGCGCGGACAAAGGTGTTTTGTTTTTATGACTTTGTAACTCCTTCGCCGGCTTAAGGAGGTAACCGTGTGCTCGTGTTTGCGAAAGGATAACTTTACGATCGTTATGGTTGAGGCTGGTGGAAGGGATAGGATAGGATGCAGGGCGAGGAGTCTTCGGAACCGAGGAATTTGAGGACTTCGAGGAGGCGGTACCTGCCGGCTAAGTGGACACAATGGAACCGCCTATTCGCAAATGCGAATTCTGCGAGCGAAGCGCTTTGTTTTGACAAAGGCGGGCTTTATTTTGGCTATTTAAAGGATTATGCTAAAGGATTGACTTTGCAACCTTGACTGAACAAGGCTCGCAAAAGGATTCCGCCCACAGCGACGACTCCTTCCGCGAATCTCGGGTTTTATGGTTCGCGAATGAGTTAAGAACCGACTCCGAGGCTCTCTAATAAAGCGAAATGCGAATAAAAAGGATAAAAAAGGCTTCGTTTCGCAGAAGGACTCGGGAAGAGTTAACGTAACTCTTTCGCAATTTACACGTAAATCTTTTACCAATTCTTGGGTGTTGCTGGGAATTCTAAAGAAACATTAAAAAAGGCCATGTTGACTCTTGAGAAACCGTAAAAATTGCTTGCTTAATGTTGACTAAAGAGGTAAAAAAAAGTATAGATGTCTTGAAGGAAGGTACAAAGAACCTCTGAAATCTGCTTGGTTAATGTTGGTCAAGGAAAAAGTTGACTTTTCTGGAAACCATAAAAATATTGTTGACTTTTGATTGTTTTAACTCTGCAGATAGCTAAATAAACCATCAGACCCGTCCAGAAGGCAAATGAAATATAAAAAAGTAAAAAACTATCATATTATATTGAAAATTTAATTTTGGCTGAAAGTACAATTACATATTTTTTATCAATCTTTTTTTTTTTGATAAATTTAATAGCAAAAAACCCTGAGATACTTAAAAAATGTTATTTGTTTAGGGGAATAAAATTCGTGAATTTTATAAATTTTTTTGAACTTTTAGAATTTGGCATAACCTGCAGTATTCCCAAAAAATGTGTTCCTTTGTTTGAGTTTGTTAAGCACTGTTAAACATCATTTGAAAAATAAAAATATATTCAAAGTTAAAAATTAAATTGTTCTACAAACACCCGTAAAAACATTTTATGCAAATATTTGAAAGTTCTAAAAATATTTTTTTTATTCTTCACCACTAAACTAACCGAATGCCATTTCGCACCTAACGGTGTCCACAGATGCTACTCGTGCTCACCCACTGTCCACTTTTATCTAATGAGTCGGATAAATGATGCCGGGGAAAATGCGACTGCACATGGCACCCTTTGCCTTTGATTTCGATTCTGATTTCAATTCCACATCGGGATCCGGCTTTTCCTTTTGCGTTGCGTTACCCATAACTGTCACGGGTGTGCAATGAAAAATGACCAATCAATGTCTCACTTCAATAGACGGACAAACAGCGGCGAAGGGAGGAAGGGAGCAGGGGATGTGGTGGTAGATATACCCCGAGGCCGACCAAAATGTGACATTTTCTCTGGCGAAAAGAGTGAATTTTATAGAAAACCCGGGAGATAGCAATGGGTCGGCGATGAGGGGATCAAGGCGAGAAATTGCAGCTGCTCGAATTTGCACGATTCGTGCTCAACATTAAATCGTTTGCTTTTCGTATAAGTTCTGCAAAAAAGGGTCGGGGTGGCTGCAGCGATCAAAGAATGCAATTTATCAGAAATAAATAAAAGAAAAGCTGAAAATTGGACAAATAAGTTAGTCATATAAGTCAGTACAAAATTGTCCACGGGTCAGATCAGAAATATACAAAGAACAATGTTAGACCTAAATCCGAACTAATTAAATGTTATTTGATTCTTTTTTGTTTGAAAAAAGTTAAATGTTAAAAATAATATTTAACCCAATTATTAAAATATCAATCGAAACCGTAAGCAAAAGCATTCACTTGCAGGTAGGTATATTGCAATAATGCAAAAGTAGGCAAGGGACCTTCCATATTTCATATTGGTATTAGTTTTTAGAGATCATATAACACTTATAAGATGTCCTTTAAAATGTTACTGCATTTTTTAATACATGTTTTTAAAGAAATTAAAATGTTATATAACATTTTTTAACCGAAATCGTACCCAATAAAAAGTCAGTTCAATTTGTTTAAATTCGTTAGATTTTCTATATTCAATAAATAAGATTCTAGTAACTTAACTTTAACTTAACAACTAACTGTACAAAAACATGTGTCAGTCTCCAAGTCTTTTGGCCATTATCAGCCTCCCAGCTGAGTGTTTTGGGTTTGTGTTTGGCCGCAGCTAATCGATCGCTGAGAACCCATCATGGCCAGCCACTGGGTTCCGTTCGCAGCAAGGATCCTTTTCCTGTCGGCCTCTTCCTCTGCCTTTGCCTCCGCACATGCGCACTCGTCCTTGTGCCCAAAATACACTGGGCACCGTAGGGAGTGCGCCCTCTACTGTGCGACTCATCGCCTCGCAGCTTCGTTCTCGGCTTGGCCATTTGCGTGTCACCTACAAATGGTCGAGAGAAGTGCGTTTCGGTTTTGTGGCGGTACGGACTTTGGTTCCGCTCGGGGGAGCTGAGCGAGGAACTGAGGACCTCAAGGCAGATGGTACAGGTCCTGCGGGTGTTGCTGGTAGCTGCACTGCTGTTGGTACTGCTGTGGGTAGGCCTCGTACTGCTGGTGGGTCTGCTGCTGAGGGTAATCATTGAGCAGGCCATAGCCGTGGCTGTGACTGTGGCTGTGGTTGTAAGCGGGATAGGCGGTGGCTTGGTGGTGGTACATGGGCATCGAAACCGAGGTGGTGCCGCTGGTGGTGGTGGCGGTGGCCTCCAGGGGTGGCAGCAACGACGCGTATCCCGCACCACAGTGCTCGGGGGAGCTCTCCAGCGTGCGATCCTTCTTGGACTTCATGCGTCGGTTCTGGAACCAGATCTTGATCTGCCTTTCGCTCAGGCTCAGCGCATTGGCAATATCGATGCGACGGCGTCTGGTGATGTAGCGATTGAAGTGGAACTCCTTCTCGAGCTCCAAAGTTTGGTAGCGGGTGTACGTCTGCCTGGTGCGTTTCGAGTCTTTGCAATCTGTAAACATAAAGAAGAAGATGGGTTAGTTATTGATTCCTTACAGTATTTGAGAAATATTAAAGAGATGTTCTTTCATATCTTTTTAATATTTTTAGGGAGCATTTTAGGGGTTGGTGTATAACGATGCCTACCTGATGCCAAAGTCTCCTCGATGTGCGACCAATTGAAATCGCCGGCTCCGTTCGGGGCTGTCACAATTCGATGATTGATCTCCTGGCTGACAGCTGACGAGGACTTCTCCCCCGGCGACTGAGGCGGAGTGCTGAGGCCCTCGACGGGCGGCAGGGAGGTGGGCGTGGTTGGCGGCGGGGTGGCAAAGTCGCCATTCTTCAGCTTCTGCGACTGCGACTGGGGCGAGTAGACGTCCAGGTAGTCGACGTCCTCGGAGGCGCTGGGCGTGGGCACGGCCACGTACTCCTGCTCGTAGCTGGGGGCGGGGCTGGCGGCGACCTTGGAGGGGGCGGTGGGGGCGGGAGCCTTCTTCACCTGCTCGACGGTGGTGTAGAAGTAGTCGGGGGTGTACTTCAGCTTCTTCACGGGGTTGGTGAGCAGGGCCCTCAGGGTGCTGGGCCTCTCCTCGACGGCGGCGATGATGGAGGCGGCGTCCTCCTCGGCCTTGCGTTTGGCGCACTTGGCGGGCGGTGGGGTGGTGGGCTGGGCAGTGGGCGGCGCAGTTTGGGCGACCACCTGTTCCTGGCTGTTGTAGTAGTAGCTGCTCTCGGCGTAACTCTCCTGGGGATAGTAGCTCTGGTAGCCCTGGTAGCTGGCGCTGTTCTGGTAGTAACTGCTGCCGGAGTTATCGTAGTAGGTGGGCGGCAGGCTGTGGGGGTGGGGGTGATACATGTTGTACATGTTCATGTTGTCGGCGTAGCTGTAGTGGCTCTGACTCTGGTTGGTGGTGGTCATCTCGAATGTGTGTGACTGTGATTTTTCTAACTCTGCGATGTGCACGCAACGCTGCTGAGTTTGCGAATGAGCTGGTCCTGTGGCAGATCCTGCATATATAGCAAAAGCGGAGGGCTCTCGGCACACGCTCGCCGTTATAGCGCATAAATATCCCTGCGCATGACACTTTGCCGCCTGCTGTTCGCAGCCACCCCTCCGGGGAAACGGCCTTGCAGTCCCGGCGAGGGGAAGTTATCCGAGGTCCTGGCCGAGTTATCCGTTCGAGGCCTACCTGCTGCGCTGCTTATTACCTACCCATCGCGCCCATTATCATCGCGAGTTATCCGCCCGCGCACTTCCCCTCCGCGGCGACCTTGAGACGCTGCCTCCTCGGTAATTACGGCCATGAGATGCCTACCTATGAGGTGCGTAGAGCGAGAGGCGGCGATGTGCAGGCGGTCTCCCTCTAATTGCAATAATCATAAAGACATAAAAAGGAACTGTAAACGAAAACTGTTGCTGAAAACGCTGCTCCGGCATAGAGGCTTTTTCCCCGGCCCGTTTATGGTTCCCTAAAAATTTCTCTGGATTTTTGCCAGCGCGCAGAACGGCGACGACGACTGGCTGCCAGTTGTTCCCGGAATCCGCGGCCCTTTCCCTCCGAATTTATTTCGCGGACTGGGCGGCCAAAGGATAACATTACGTCCGATCCCCGGGACTGCGATTGCGCGTGGCCGAGGGTCGCGTGTTTGCGCTTTTTGTTTGCCCTCGTGGCCAAGCAAGTGCGCAACTCCCGTTCCCATCCGATCCGATCCCAAACCAAACCAAACTCACTCCTATGCCTGGTATTTGCTCAAAACCCGAAAGCCGCTAGGCCAAATTTACACAGCTAACAAAAAACATTTTTACATTTTTTATATCAGCACAAGCATTTAATAAAATTAAACAAATGTTTTAACCATTTCCTCGATTGATGGAATCTAAAAGATACTAAAAGATACTAAACAATTTATTCATTATTGTTATCTTAGAACGCTTAATATTTAAGCAAACAAATAGATTTCATAAAGTTTGTCAAGCTAAATTGTTTTAAATTTAGCTTATGCTTTGTTAGCTACACTAAAGAATCTAATTTTAAAAATTGTATAAAACCCATTTAAGTTTTCACTTGACATTTTTAAAGTAAGATCTCCCTATCTTCATAACAGGATCTCTAAAAATAAATGGACATGGCAAAAGTAGAATCCATCGATATACATTTAGAAGACGTTCAACTATTCTAGCAAATGTACTTTCAAAATGACATTACTATTTCATTTAATACTTATTTCGTCCAGAAAAACTGTGCCATAAATATAGTACGGCTTAAATTGATTTTTTTGCAATTGATGAGTTTTGGAAACATTAAGTTCTGACGATATCTTGTATTTGCATAGAACCCAAAAGCCGCTCAGCTAAATTGACTGCTAAAAAAACAATCACTTCTGCGCCACATCTTCTGTTTACATGACTTTCTGATCGGCTTACGCGGCCGGGATAAATTTTATCAGCCACCCCCGTTGAACACCCCTAACATATCGATAGTCCTGGCATATGTGTGCCGTTTGGGCATGTGCAAAATCTACCCCTACCCCCAGTCCACTCCCCGAACAGCTCATACCCTATCTCCGTCTGCTGGCAGCTTCCATTGTTGCACAAAATTTATGGCGTTTTTCAGTTTGACAGAGACTGCAGTTCGCATTTCCCCGATGTCCTGTGATTGCTATATTGCTATAGTGAATGTGAGCCGCCTCTCTGGTTTTAGAGTAAATTTAACAATCAGTGGGCGACATGGAGTGAGAAAAAGAATTTCCAACCATATAAATAAATAAATATATGTCAAACTACAAAATTTTTTTAAAAATTTAAAAGGTTAATTGTTATTTTCTTGAAAAGTAAAGCATGCCAGCATATCTAAGCTAGCAACCCAGAATGTTAGAAAGGTGTGTTTCAAAACTATAAGACACCAAGATTTTTTTTAATTTCGTAAACTTTTTTGTTGCTTTTGGCGACTTGTGTACTTTATGTTTTTGTTGTCATGTAGTGAAACACAGCTTAGTTTTAAGTTTTCCAATATATTTCGGTCCCATAAATGCAGCTCGAAAGAGCCGTATACGAAAAAAATACCTTCCGTCCTTACCACTAATGTTTCTATATAGTCTATCTTTCGGCTATCTGCGATTGCATCATAATTTAAGACACCATCGTTTTTTCCGGAAATTTCTTATAGTTAAATATAATTTTAAAAGATTTCATTTTGAGAGAAAAAAAAGTAAAGTGTTTTACTTAAAAGCAAAGTATTGATACAACAATAAATACAATAAATACATA